AGAGAGGCAACAACCCAAGTGTTTACCAACTGATAAAAAGGGTAAGCAAATTGTGGTAAAGTCATACAATGAATATTATTCTACCACGAAAATGACAGAAGCAGGGATACACGCAACAACAAAGATGAATCTTGAAAGCATTATGCTAAATGAAAGAAGCCAGTCACAAAAATACCCCACATATTCTATAACTCCATTTATATGAAATATCTAGAATAAGCCAATCCATACAGACAGAAGGTAGATTTGTCGTTGCCCAGGTGGGTGGGGTATGGAATGGGCAATGATGCTAGTAGCTACAGGGTTTCTTTCGGGGGTGATAACGATCTTCTAAAATTAGGTATTGGTGACAGTCACACAACTCTCCATATACTAAAAACCACTGTACCTTTAAATGGGTACATTTTGTAAGTATGCGAATTTGATCCCGAAAAAGCTATCATCTTTTAAAAACTGACTTTTCAGCCTTTAATTGTCCTTAAAGCCCCCACTGGAGGGTTCTCTTTGGTTAATGCCAGTTTCATCTCTTACCTGAATGCAGGTGAAGTGGGGACATGCCTGAAACTTTGTCTTCCGCTCCAGCCCACTGTTGGGCCCACAGTTGAGGTTTTCCAAACTCCCCAGGTTCTCGCCTGACACCAGGGCTTCCACCTGCCCCTCTCTTTACCCGGATCACCTGTTTCCCCCACCCACCTGTCCCCACCTTCTTCCCACACCGGCCGTCTCTGCCTCCCAGGACAGCACAGGGTGCTCTCTGGGGTGCCCCCCTTCTCCCCCATCCCATCGTGTTGGGTTGTTTTGTTCACTACCTTATGTCCTACCCCAGGACAGGTGAGACCGTGTGTGAGCATAGACTTGATTATCAATGAATGTCTGAATATATATCTGAAAAAGACCGTGCATTTGTACAGAGTGGAGGGAAATGGGGAACAGCAAAGAATAAGGAAAAGGAAGGAGGGAGGATCTGGACTGAAGTTATATTACTATGTACCCATTCTGACCCTTTGAGCCTCCAACATCCAAGAATTTCTTTCAGTTGCAGTCTTACCCATCAAGCCAAAACCTTTAGCTTTTCAAGAAAACACCCCACACCTTGTTCTTTCTAATCCGTGGCTCAGAAATCCCAAGTTGGCGGATCTAGCCAAAGAAAATAATAACAACCACCTGAATACAGAGTAGGGGATGAACTCTAGAATTTTATGCACAAAGTTACCTATCAGGGCATTGTTTACAATAGTAAAAAATTGGAGATAACCTAGGTGTAGGGTTATCCAACAGTAGGGTAATATACCCAACACCGTGGCCCAGAGAGGGAATAATATGCACCCATTAAAAGAATTTAATGACCTGGGAAAATGCTTGCATCATATGTTAAGTGGGGTAACAAGTAGGTTATAAACTAGTTGTTAGGTTATAAACTGGTCTCTAATATGTAAACTGTGCACATACACAAACATCTAAAGAAATATGCATCAGAATGATTTCAGTAGTTCCTTTTAGTAGTAGGACTACAGGTGTCATTCTCATTTCTTTCTTTAACTGATATAGGTGTTGTACAATGAACATACATGAATTTTATCCTCACAGGAAAAAAAAATATCCCCTAAGTCTCTCTTGCCACTGCTCTTTCTTCGGAAATTCACTGTACACCTGTTTTGTTCGGTCCACCCCCATCCACCTCCAAACCCTTGTCCCTAGCTGCACCCTTGGCCTGTGATGAGCAGTCCCGTGCCAGGTGCTCCCTGTGGCCACTCTTTGCTGCTTGTGTCCAAGCAAAGACACTGCCCCCTTTGCTGGGCTGGACCTCACTGCATGTCCCTGGCATGGCCCAGGAGCCAGCTTAGCTGGCCCTGAATGTTCCCATATAGGGTCTCTGAGTCTAAGCCCCCAGGAGGAAGTATTGAGGCCACATGTCACCTCTCTGTTGGACGTTGAGAAGGGTAGTGATGACATTTCACTCTGCAAGTCCTGATTTGCCACGAGAAAGACTTCTCCTGGCCATTTAAAAACCACTCAAACAGTCTTAAAACAGCTTAAGAAGTGATCAAAGGTGTTTATACTTCATCGTGACCAGCAACCTTCTTAAAAGGAGTCGGCTCAGCCTCAGTCCCTTCGGCTAGGAGGAAATGTATGAACAAATGCTGCAGATGTAGCTCAACTGCACTTTGGTTGCTTGTGAATTGATTTGTCCAGATATATCTCCAGTGTGTTGCCGAATTGGAATCAAATTAGAGAAACCTTTGGTGGAAAAATTTCGTGGGTCGGCGAACATTTGAGTGCCTGTTGTGTACCTGACACTTGGGAAATGTTGTGGTTTTAGCAAAGCCATAAACAAATCCAGGGTGATCTCTCCTGCACAACTTCCTTCTCACATATTACACCCACATGAGACAAAATAAGGAAGTCTCGGAGGGTAAGACAGACTGTGTCTCATGGGTCCTTCTAGAAAGGCGTGTGCACTGTTAGCTCTTTGTGGGGTTCTGAGCTCACCACCCCAGCCTGTCTGTGAAAAGTGTTGGAACGGAGGATTCAAATAAGTCAAATGTCCCCGCATCAATCTTTGGTGCTTTTGAAACTGAGAAAGACAGACGTGGCGTGCCAGCCTGCCTCATGGGTCTGGTATTCTACCTGTCATCTTGAGCAAGGTCAACAAACCACGGACATATTTTTCTTCCCCGCAGAACTGCGCCCTTTTTCATGATTAGGTCTGGGCGCTGTGTGGCAACTGGAGTGGAGCAGCATGGGCGTGGGGAGGCATTTTTTAATTTCACCCTCTGCTCACATATTTAAAGTAGAAGCATGAGTAGGTGACTGCCGCCTTTGCCAACTAGCCTCTATGCCTGCCACCCAAACGCGGGCCTCCGTGCCACTTTTCTTAGGCCACCACGGTTGACATTTCTCCCCAGTGCATCTTGACAAGGCTGGAGGTACCGAGATTCCCAAAGGAGATTATGAGGAAGAGTAGCGGGTTCTGCCTTCCGCCATTCCCAGGGCTTGGGTTTTTGTTGAACGGGACATATCAGGGTGGCAGTGGAGATGCTGAGGGTGAAGAAGGGGTTTTTGAGGGACCAACAACGGAAGAGAGAGAGGAGGGAGCAGGGACAGCAGGAGAGAGGGGACTTCGTGGGGGAATTCCATGTGTCGTCATTGGGCCTCTCTCCCCGATCTCCCGGGAGATCTTGAGTAAGACATCCGTTTCTTGCTGGTGTCCTGAGGAGCTGAACCTGTTCGCTGGGGGGATTCGTTCGTTCATGCAACAAATATTTATCGAGCATCTGCAGGACACCAGGCCGTGGTACGAGTGCTGGGCATGGAGCAGCGCGTACAACACACCCAACACGCAGCAACTCGGACGAGCACATGCAGCTGGATGCCTCTCCAAGGAATTCTGCTGCGCGGGAAAAGCCAATCCCAAAAGATTAAGCCTGTGTGCTCCTGTTTATGTGACAGTTTTGAAAGGTCAAAATTTCACAGATGGTGGCTGCCAGGGGTTAGGGATGGGAGATGGGGTGGGAGGGACGCAGGTTTGGTGGTAAAAAGGCAACATGAGGAGGGATCCTTGTTCCAACGTGCTGTTCAGTATCTTGACCATGGTCATGGATATGGGAACCCACATGCGTGATAAAATTGTCTAGCACTAAACACACACACACACACACACACACACACACACACACACACACACACACGGGAATACGAGTGAATGCAGGGAAATCCGAATGAGATTGGTGGATAGTGTCAGTGTCAATGTCCTGCTGTAATGTCGTGCTATACAGTTTTGCAAAATGTTCCCACTGGGGGAAACTGGGTAAGATCTACATGGGATGCTTTTGGATACTTTCTCAAAACCGCACATGCACGTACAATTATCTCAATAAAATTTTCAATTAAGAAAAAAATAAACTCCCTGGCCTCGTGGAGCCTACATTTTAGTAGAAGCTAAGTATGGCTCCGTGGTGGCTGCAGGGCAAAAGCCAAGACTGTCCCCAGGGAGGTGGGCCCTCTCCGAGGTGTTCCATGCTGCGGCACCAGAGGTTCTTTCTCAGTCTTCGGACACATCATTGAATCCCCCTCGGGGGGAGGGGGAGAGAATGACATCCAGACTCAGCAGAGGAGGCAAGTGAAGAATAAGCGTGTGAATCCCAGCTGCCCTGATCCCACCACACGGGAACCTGGGAAGTATCCAGCCTGCCTTTGGTTCTTTAAACCGTGCATCTGACTTGGGGAGGCCAAGGTAGATGGATCCCTCAAGGTCAGGAGTTCGAGACCAGCCTGAGCAAGAGTGAGACCCCATCTCTACTAAAAAATAGAAAGAAATTAATTGATCAACTAAAAATATATAGAAAAAATTAGCCAGGCATGACGGCATGTGCCTGTAGTCCCAGCTACTCGGGAAGCTGAGGCAGGAGGATCGCTTGAGCCCAGGAGTTTGAGGTTGCTGTGAGCAAGGCTGACACCACTGCACTCTAGCCCAGGCAACAGAGTGAAATTCTGTCTTAATAATAATAATAAAAACAAACAAAAAAAAAACCATGCATCCAGCACCCACTGGATTATAAAGGTGACACTCAGGTGCCATGGAGCTCCCAATAGCTGCATGGAATCCCACTTGGCATGTTCCCAACTTCCTCCATCACCACCTGGCTCAGGGACAATCAACCTCCTTCCACCCTGCCCTGAAAGCCTGTCCTGTCCCGGCAGCACACACAGCTTGGAGAATCTTCTTTCCCCTATGGACAAGGGCACAGCTCACTGCCCCAGTTCTCGGCAGCAGCAAGAACTGCTCAGGCCAGCCCTGGCCCCAGGACTCAATCTTGGATTCTAGTCCCTCGGCCATGTCTGGGCAGGTCAGTGTCCGGCAAAGGGGGAGGGTCACCCCAATCTCTTAGTCCCATGGGTTGTACAATGAGGCATCTCGCTGGCTATGAACTGCCAAGCTCTGCAACTCTATTTTATAGCCTTAGAAGAACTTCAGAGGAAGAAGCCGTGCAAACATAAAATAAGGTCTGAACGGACTTTAAAGTTTTTATTCTTTTATATTACGTCATGCCTTGCAATGGAATGACCACGGACAACGTGCCTTCCTGGCCACATAACTCACTCGTATAGCAGCATGGCTGAGAAAAGCTAGAACTCCCAGATGCACGATTCGGTCCATTAGAAAGAAGGGAGGGAGGGAAGGAAAGAGAAAGAGACAGAGGAAGGAGCAAAGACAAACACTTATCTGTCTCTCCTCTAAGATGTTAGTGGTTGCTCATTCTAAAAACGATGATAAGATGGCTTAAGACAATTTCTGATTCACGGTCAAGGTCTTTATCATAAAGGAAAGGAGCTTTCTTAGAAGTACCTGGGCTAATCAATAAATATTTGACTTTCAGACAAGGTTTTTATGGCCAAAATAAAAATGAAAGAAAAAAGACACGGACGAGCTCTCCCCCCACGCCCTGGTCAACGTGGCCACAGACAGAAGGGCGCAGATGGGAAACGGAGGTCCCTCCCTGCCCCCAGGGTCTCCAGCGTCAAGTCCTGAGGGTCCTGCCAGCTGAGGTCCCCTTCCCCGGGCCCAGGCCCGACAGCGTCAGGTCTGGGGGGCCTCGTCACCCTGTGAAGCCTCGTCCCGCTGCTCCTCGACAGGAGGCTGTGTCCCCGTGTCCCCGTCTGCGGCCGGGACGAACAGCCCGTGGAGGTCCAGATGCATGTCTGCGTCCACCGAGGCGCGAGCCAGTTCTGTAAAACTTCTGGCATCCAGAATAAGCAGGAAAGGCAGCTTTTGGGGATCAGTGGAGACGATGGCTGATAAGATGACTCCTTCGAGGAAACAAAGAGAGACCCTGTGTAAAAGGGCAGCCTCTAACCTCCTCCGGTTGGCGGGATCAGTTTCTCAGCTGGGTCTCTCTGCCCTCTTTGAACTTACGCGTCCAATCAAAACAGGAGGGAAGCGGATCTGATCCTCTGTGTGCGCAGAAGGGAAAGGCCCGGGACTAGGAATCAGAAGGCCTGGCTCTAGCCCTGGCTGGGCCAGTCCCTATACTGAGGTCCTCTCTGACCCTCAGTCTCTTCATCTGCAGAGTGGGGACAATCTTGCCTACCCTCACAGGGCTGCTGAGAGGGTCTCCTGCACGGTGGATCATGAAAGTACTCTGCGAGTTATTGCAGGATCAAAGAAGAGCTATTTTCCTACTACTTAAAAACTCCAATGACAGAGAATCAAGTTAAGGGCTGTGCTTAGGCTGATATCCATCACTCAGCTAAATGCAGGCCCGCTGCACTCACGGCATTTGAATGAGCCAAATTCACCTCTTGCCCACACAGCAACCCTGGTAACCTCAGCTTTCCCCTCTGTAAAATGGACATACTCTCAGCACTCACTCTCGGGGGACGTAAACTTCCTGCAAATAGGATTCCTCCGGAGGCTCCCGGGCTGTAGATCGGTTGAGCATGTTTGCGTCCGTTTGGCCTGGATTCAAATCCTACCTCCGTGCATACTGGGTGTGTGAGCCTGGGCAAGTTATCTCACTCTCCGGGCCTCTCGTGGGTAAGATGACGACAACAATACTCTCTGTCCACTGGGAGGAGGGACAGGAAGCACTTGCCCGGTTGGGTGGGACACTGGCCGCCTTAGGAGGTGATGCCACCAGCCCCCGACCTCAGAGATGACAGTGACGCGGGGTCCCTTGCCCGGCAAGCCACGCCGTGATAGGGAGGAAGACAGGGCCCAGGTGGGAACCACTCCCTTCTCCCGAGGGCAGAAGCTGGCAGGCTCCGCGGGACCTCGCGCCCTCCCAGCAGGTGCGGGCAGCCCGGGCTCTGGCTTGGCCAGGTGACGTCCCCACCCATGGTTCTAGTCACCCTCCTTAGAATCCCCAGGGCTGTGGGCAGGGCGTTTCGGAGGCATTTCTGAGAAACCCAGGAGGGAAAGGGTGAAACCTGGAAAAGAGAGGTGGGCCACAGGTACGCACTGCTACCTGATCCATGAAAAATTTACAGGCTTGTAGGTGGCGAAACATTTGGGTCCAGACATTGTGATGAATTTAAAAACCAAGATTCTACATTCTGAGAGAGTTCAGTGTGGCTCAGTGGCGAGGACATGGGCTTTGTGTAGTAAAGAACTTGACCCCGTGCCCAAAGAGAGCCTGGCCTTTGCCCTCAGCGCCTGGGAGGTCACCTCGAAGTCCTTGGAATGTCCTGCCTGATACAAGTGCCTTTGTTTACCAGGGTCCTTGGGCCACCCAGGTGGTCTATCCTCATAATGTGATTTATGGTGGGGTCTCGGGCAATGCGGTCCAAGCTTGACCTGCAGAGGGGCCGAAGACCATAAGGGTCAGGCACGCAGGTGGCCATCCACGGCTAACGAGAGTGAGCGCCAATAAAAACTCTGGACACCAAGGCTCGGGGGTGCATCCTGGTTGGCAATACTTGGTGCGTGTTGTCACACTCCATTGCAAGGACAGGTTAGCGCTGAGACTGCACTGGGAAAGGACAACGGGAAGTTCATTCACGCCCGGTCTCTCCTGGACCCTGTCCCGTGTGCCTCTTCCCTTTGCTGATTTTAATCTGTTTCCTTTCCCTGCAATAAACCACAGCTGTGCGTGTAACGTGTAAGGGCTTCCGGTGAGTTCTGTGAGTCCTTCCGATGAATGACTGAGCCTGAAGGTGGTGCTGGGGACCCTCACACTTCGCGGTTGGCATTAGAAGTGTGGTGGCCTTGGGGACTCTCCAACCCTGCAGCTTTGACTCAGACAGACCTAGACATCAAAGCATAACTCCACCAGCTGGGGGGCCCCCTGCCCCCAGATGACATCTGTATGGGAGGGGCATCGCTGGCGACATGCGACTAATGCCCCCCTCCCCCAGAGTCTTACTTACCATCGTCCTCGGCCTCGGCACCCGGCGTGGGCACAAACAGCGGCTCTGCCGGCCAGCAGCACTCCTCCCCCCATTTCAAGGATGACTTTGTAAGAATGTCGTATTTTATTATCTGTGCAGGAGGAATGCGGGAGTGACTTCAGTATCCCCAAGGGACATCTACCTCCGGTCAGCACCACGACTACAGCAATGAAGGAAGCGGACTTTCCTCCTCTAACTTTAAACACTGGTGCTCAGGCTACCACATGGCTGACACTGCTCGGTGGACTCTTTTAAAAATTAAAATTCTCAAATGTATCTCATATTTGGTGCTGCCATGCAATTTTATGTGTGTCAAATAAAGTGATCCATGCAAAACACTGAAAGTGTGTTACAATTTCTTTGTTGCTTTAAAAGTGCAAGTCCCTGGACCTTTCTAGGTCTCTCACAGACCTATGTCCCTGTAGGGTATGGGATCAGGGGAGTGGCTTGGGATGCTTGCAGGGGGTCGTAATTTTTGGCTTTGTACATTTCTGCACTGTTTGCATTTTTTTAAAAAAGATTCCTTTTTGGCTGAGTGCGGTGGCTCACGCCTGTAATCCTAGCACTCTGGGAGGCGGAGGCGGGTGGATCGCTCAAGGGCAGGAGTCTGAAACCAGCCTGAGCAAGAGGGAGACCCCGTCTCTACTATAAATAGAAAGAAATTAATTGGCCAACTGAAAATACATAGAAAAAATTAGCTGGGCATGGTGGCGCATGCCTGTAGTCCAAGTTACTTGGGAGGCTGAGGCAGGAGGATTGCTGGAGCCCAGGAGTTGGAGGTTGCTGTGAGCTAGGCTGATGCCATGACACTCTAGCCAGGGCAACAGAGAGAGACTCAAAAAAAAAAAAAAAAAAAGATTCCTTTTTATTATTAAAACATGAAGATGTTAAGGAAAGGTGATGTCTGCACAGTACTTAGCAAAGTTCCCAGGACACTGTAAGTGTTCAACAAATAGTAGCTTAAAAAACAAAATAGGCTGGGCACAGTGGCTTGTGCCTATAATCCCAGCGCTTAGGGAAGCTGGGGCAGAAGGGTTGCTTAAGGCCAGGAGTTTGAGACCAGCTTGGGCAACAAAGTAAGACCTTTCTTTTCAAAAAATACAAAACAGGCTGGGCGAGGTGGCTCACACCTGTAATCCTAGCACTCTGGGAGGCCGAGGCAGGCGGATTGCTCAAAGGTCAGGAGTTCAAAACCAGCCTGAGCAAGAGCAAGACCCCATCTCTACTATAAATAGAAAGACATTAATTGGCCAAATAATATATATAGAAAAAATTAGCCTGGCATGGTGGCGCATGCCTGTAGTCCCAGCTACTTGGGAGGCTGAGGCAGGAGGATCGCTTGAGCCCAGGAGTTTGAGGTTGCTGTGAGCTGGGCTGACGCCACAGCACTCACTCTAGCCTGGGCCAGCAAAGCACACACTCTTGTCCCTAAAAAAAAAAAAAAAAGTACAAAACAAAACCAAAACGCCCCCTAAACCCCAAAGTAAATCCTCCAAGTTGCAGCTATACCTTCTCTGCTTAAGAAGGTAAATTCCTTGAGGGCAGGGATTGGGATCCCTCTGCTGACTTCCTTATCCTCGGTACCTACTACATCATAGCACGCAGTTGGTGCTCAATAAATGTGTGCTGAATAGAGAAATCAATAAATAAACCCCAGCCATGAGCTCTTACCCAAGCTTCAGCCCATTAGGCGTGACTCCCTCTCCTGGGGTGTCCGTGTTGACTTCAAATGTATTTCATCCCAGACTGACCTCCCCTCTGACCTCCTCTTTTCTGATCAAGGTCACCAAGCTCAGAACCTGAGAATTTGGCTTTGCAGACAGACACTGTCGTCGCAGGGAGAGCCAGCCCGTGATCACACAGGGATCGGTACCTTGGTTGGGATCGGACTCCACTGGACTTCAGCCGAGAAGATGTATCGGTATGGCTTCCCGTTGTGAGCGTAATTGATTCGAGGTAGCTCCAAGCCTAGAGAGAAGTGACACAGTCGACAAAGTCCCCATTACCGGAGCTGGGAGCGTCCACCCTTCACGCCAGGTGGGGCATCTCTGCACAGAAACAGTTGCCGAGCCGAGACCCCTGAACCTGATTGAGACCCTGGATGGGATCAAAGGTGGTCAAAGGCAGGGCAAGGAGCCTTTGATAATTACCTGGGCTCTATGAGAAGGTTCGGGAACAAACTCCCATGGATCTAGGTTTCTAAGTGTATAAACACCTTTAATTACCCAAGATAGAAATCAAAGAGAATGGCATGATTATAATCAGAGGCTACTGCAATTTATTTAAAGCTCTTTAAATAAAAGTGCTAATGTGTGTGCCTGTGTGTGCACATGTACACGTGTGTGTTTACGTGTGTGTGCACATGTACACATGTGTGTTTATGTGTGTGTGTGTGTTTGAAGAGAAACTTCAGACGCCACGGACAGAAGTGTCAACAGAGGACAGTAAAATAAATCTGGTGAATGCTATAACAACATTATGTAAAAATAATGTTCACAAAGGATTCTAGTAACATGGGCCAGCGTCCACACCATAGGTTAAGTAGAAAAGGCTGGTTATAAAATGACTACGTCTTCACTGTCACAAATGAAGAGAGGAAGTTTAGAAGCATTGCTGGACTTAAACTGCCTTAGAGTTTATGTTTTCTATTATAGATTCTAAGTTTCTCATTATGTGAAATTTTTTATCATGCCTCTATTACTTTCATGATAGAAAAAAACTTAAAAATTTTTTCCACGGGAAATGTGTATAGTTGTGTATGTCTGCTATGTCATGTTGAATTTCTAAGAGTGACTACTGAAATGAATGGAATATTCCAGAAGCCAACTGCTGAAGATGTCACGTCCAAGGAAAGAGGGAGCAGAAACGGATATACCTGCCACACGGTGGCCACACCTGGAGGTGACCCCCAAGCATACATGGATATCAGGCTCAGTGGGGAGTGGAGGGGGCTAGTGAGACGGGAAGGAGATGTCCCACCCCACAAATGAGTAATCGTGAAACTTCCAAGGGACGGGTCAAAATTAATGTGACACAGAGGGACCCACTCACACACTTAAGTAAGAAGATGCCACCAACAGTCGATGCCAAAGTAGGGCCAAGACTTCCTGTGATGCTCCTGGGCCTCTCTCACCCCTGGTCTGGGACCACCCCCCTGCCCCGACCTGGACCCCCTGTAAATGGCCATCCACAGGTCCTTGGTTACGCAAAGTAAGGTTCGCCCCTCTGCGTTCTGTGCAGCTACCAAAAGCCACACTCTTGAAGAACCTTCGAGATGCGAGGAAATACTCAGGCTACATTCATTAAGTGTAACAGGCCGTTTCAGAACATTCTAGACACCATGGTATGCATGTCGTAAAAGTATAAATGCAGAGGTCAAGAGTCAGACAGGCTCTGCTGCCTGCCTTCGGGCAAGTTACGGAGTTATTCCAGCCTGCCTTCCTCGGCACCTGCCTGCCAAAGCCATTCTAGTACTGGCTGCCGTTGGCAGGACTGTCCCGATGGGCCAGGCCCCAGGCTCAAAGCCCTTGAGGCACACAAACACATCTCATGTCAATGACAGCAGGATGAGGCTGCTGGGGTGAAATGGGACAATGTCTGATAAGCTGCCCAAAGAGGGTGGGACATACCCTACACATGATGGGCTACTTCAAAGAGTTGTCACCGGGGGAGGAATTACGAGTGATTTGTCTGCTGTCACACTTTTCAGTATTGTGCAATAGTGCTACAACAAACAAGAAAAAAACCATAATGTTGGACGCCTCCATCTGCTCAGGCGATGCAGTGGTGAGTGGGATGGAGACCGACACCTTAAGAACCAGCCTGTTCTGGTGCCCCACAGAACTGGTTATGGGGTCCATGGGATGCGGTTCGCAGAAGTGGATTCTTAGGGCAAATCCGAGGTCATTTAGCACAGTGCCCAGGACTGTGTGCCCTTCTAGATGCCTGAACCTGGCAGGAGGCAGCCGCCAGAACAACAAGGCTCTCAGTTGAAATCCGCACCTGCCACCCTCCAGCTGAGTGTCCTTGGGCGGCCCATTCCTTCTGCACTTGTAAGTGTTACATACAGACCCCGACATGCCAGGCTTTGTGCCACGTGTGGCAGACACACTGTGAGCACAGAAACACGATCCCCCCTCTCGGGCTAATGTTCTAGGGCAGTAGTTCTCAATCACAGCGACGGCACCCCCCATGGGACATTAGTGATGTCTGGAGATATTTTTGGTTGTTCCAACTCAGGGTCGGGGTGCTCCTGGCATTTAGGGGGTAGAGGCCGGGATGCTACTAAATATCGTAAAATGCCCCGGACAGACCCCATCATGAAGGACGACCCAGCCCCAGATGGCAACGGTGCCTGGGTTGGGAAGCCCAGCTCCAGGGGGCATGGCTGTTATTCTAATGGGTCTATGTTCTGTGTGCAGCTCAACGTCTCTCAGGCCCAGGTCACCTCTATAAAATCGGGCTGATAAACAATTATTTTGCAGGGTGAACGTTTAGAGGTATAAACACGACGTGTCGTGTCTGTTCAACAAGCCAGTGTTTAGTAAGTTGCGGCATTTGCCGAACTCATCTGGTCTGACAGCTACTCAGTGCCTTCCTTTGAGGTGTTTGAAGATACATAGAAGAGAAATGTCCCCAAATGCTTTTCTCTGGGGCATCCCAAGAGCTTTCCTCGTTTGCCCCTTGCCCATGCATGGGACAGGTCTCCGTGACAACCTGCCCCACCGCAAACGCAGGAGGATGCGTCTTACCTTCATAAAGCAATTCCGGCTGGCAGTAGACCTGGTCATCTTTGTCCTTCACGGCCGTGGCTGTTGTAGATGCCACTTTGATTAGATTTGAGCCCACTTCTGCATTCTGAAAAGAATCGGTTTTCAAAAAATATAAAAACTTGCAATCCAAAGCAAACAGCTGTGTACCTTAAACCAATGCCTGAATGTACGTGTACATTCTGTGTACCTTAAACCAGTGCCTGAATGTACGTCATCTTGTTTAGCCTGATGTTAACCATAGGACGTAGCTATTTTATTGTTGTTATTCTTATTCTTGGCTTAAAAAAAAAAAAAAAGAACGAGGGTTGGTGATTGGAAGGGACTCCCCCAAAGTCATAGCTGGTGGGTGGCAGAAACAGGACTCCCAGTCCCGGGGCTCTTTCCTCTCACTCTGACCTGCCTCCTCCCTCACAGGGAAAATTAATGTGCTTCTGTGAGTAAGTTCTCACTTTTAAAATGCTCTATGATTCACCTCTAAAAAGCTGCATCAGTCATTAAAAGGATGCTTCTCAAGAGATTACAGTAACACGGGAAATGCTCGCGGTCTAACGCGGGGTGAGAAAGCATCGGAACAGATTGCATTTGCATTCTGAGCTCGGCCACGTACAAAAGCTACTCGGAAAGGAGACTGGGAGAAACAGACCAAGTATCAGCCCTCCAGCAGACGCTGGGATTACAGGGGACTTTAACTTCTTTTTCCACGCTTCTCCGTATTGTCCGTCTTTTCTCCTGTGAAAATGCATCGCTGCTGAAATGCAAACAGACATGCGACAAAAACTACCTGGGAGAAAAACGACTTTCAAGGATATTCCTTGGTCTTAAGTTACAACCAGACTTTGCTGTCTTCATTTCCTTACTGTCGTTCCTATGACCCAGGAGAGGGAGTCAACAGGATCGAATGTTTATCACACACCTGCTACTCCCTGTTTCCCTCCACACTAACCATGGGACCTTGAGCAAGTTACTCAGCCTCCTTGTGCCTCAGTTTCCTTGCGTGCACGGTAAGGATGATACTAGCACGTGCATCTGTGAGTTACTGCCCATCCTCGCAGATGGCGGACAGGGGTGCCTGGTGAACAGGAAGTGCTAGACAAATAAATGTTAGCTGCTTTTGTCAATGATGACCACCTCACTGTTGTTATATTGTTGGTATTGTTACCATAAATTACTACTACGTGTTGTTGTTATACTGCTGCCCCTACCACTGGGGTGAGGACAGGTTGGGCACTGGAAGACGTGGAGAAGGAGACCACAGAAGATTATTGTCCCGGCTGACTTCTCACTAAAACTCTCTATTCTCCAAGTTTCCCGAAATATCCTTCATAATAAAAACCAACCTGTTTTAGGGATAAGCAGCTATTTTGCTGGGAAGGGGGGAAAAGTTTCCCATTACACATCTCAGCAGTTGAACTGCAGGAATCTTCAGAAATCTGTTTAGTTCAATTTCTCGATTTATAGAAGAGGAAACTGATGTCCAGAGGAGGACAGTGACGGGCCCAAAGTCACGCAGAGAGCGGCAGAGCCGGGGCCCAGGCCGTGGCATTGCCTCTCTTCTGCCCAGGAGCAAGTGCATTGCTGGCAGACAGCAGACCAGGTGAAAGGCCCTTAGGCCGGCTCCTTCCTACCCTGGGGGTCTCAGAACAAACACCCCCTTCCCTGTGAACTCAGTCTGAATCTGCAGTGTCTACAAGGCATTTGTCCCTGGCTATAATCATCTCCTTGATGGAGCTGTTGCCCTTCTTTTATGCTTGCCTGGGCCATGAAGGCAGGGACCAGATTTTGTTCAGTGCACGACACTTTGTGCCCAGAAAATAATTGCTGGAAAAACGAGTGAATGCACGACTCGGTAATCTTTCCCCTCAACCATCCAGGGGCAGAACACGTGCTTTGCAAGGTGGTGGTTCTAAGAATGAAATGAGATGAAGCGCGCGGGGGAGAGCGTGAACCAAGGAGCTCAGCCTCTGGCCCGTGTCATCGGTGTCTGATAAACAGAAACTCTGAACCTTAAATGCCTCCACCTGCACGGCACCACAAGTCAGTGGGCAGCTCTCCCCGATGCCTGGCTAAGCGTGCGCAACAACAACAGGCCTCTGGGCACGCCTTGATTCCTAGGGAGTTGGTCTGCAGGGAAGTCTTATAACTCCCTCCTGAAACTGGTCAGACTGGTTGAGGGATACACTGTGAAATTTTTCCACACACAGCAGTCCCCAACATGACTCGGCAACACGCTCAGCTTTGGGAAGGAATCGCTTCCCAGCCAGAGTGCAACAAAATCCTGCAAGCTCGCTTCGCAAGCCCTGCGCCCCAGGGAACTCCCATCAGACCCAGTCATCTCAGGAACACCCCCCTCGCCATTGCCACCGCCAAGCCTGCTTTCTTCGTGAAATCTGTGGCTTTCTAAGTGAACTGTGAGCAGCCTTGGGGGCCCCTCTGTGCCTGCCTCCTTGTCGGCAAAATCGGGGCGCTGACTCATAACTTTCGGAGCCGTGCTGAGTATAAGTGAGGTTGCTGCTTACCTGCATAATCTGGGGATTATGTTAGGATTAGATTAAATAATGGTTGCGAAAACCTGGTCGGGGGCCAGGCACACTGCAGGCAGTCGCTCGGAGCTAGACAGAGGCGCGTCCAAATAAATTCCAGCTCAAATCCCATGGATGATTCTGCGTGTTGGGCAAGCTACTTTCACTCTCATCTGCAGACATGGGATTATAAATAATTTAGGACATCGTGGTGCAGATTAGCAAAGCCTTTCATAGTCCCTTAAATTTGCACGGCCCAGGACGAGAGTACAAGTGGAGGCCCACTGACCCTGTGTCCGCGTATATCAAGCGAATTAAGTAAAACGCCGTCTCTCTCTCTCCCTGCCCCAACACACAGCCTTTCATAATGTTGTGGAACTGGGCTATCTAATGTGACAGTGGCCAACCATAGATGGCTATTTCAATTCAATTTTATTTTATTTTATTTTTGAGACAGTCTCTCGCTTTGTTGCCCAGGCTAGAGTGAGTGCTGTGGCATCAGCCTCGCTCACAGCAACCTCAAACTCCTGGGTTCAAGCGATCCTCCTGCCTCAGCCTCCCGAGTAGCTGGGACTACAGGCATGCGCCACCACGCCTGACTAATTTTTTCTATATATATTAGTTGGCCAATTAATTTCTTTCTATTTATAGTAGAGACGGGGTCTCGCTCTTGCTCAGGCTGGTTTTGAACTCCTGACCTCGAGCAATCTGCCCGCCTCGGCCTCCCAGAGTGCTAGGATTACAGGCGTGAGCCACTGCACCTGGCCTCAATTCAATTTTAAAATAAGATTTGTGAACTAAAATGAAATCTTAAGGCTCACCCCACCCCATGAGCTAGCTGAATGGACCCCCCATCGTGGCCAAAGGAATATCCTAAAGCTAAATTGCCTGCCAGGAGGAGGGAGGTCAGACATGCCTCATCACGCCCCCCTCCCTTCTTGGGGACATCCTTTGTAACCCATTAAGAGGCCTCAGGATAGGCAAGACAAACCTGCAGGTCCTCAATTTATACAACAAATATATGTCAGGTTATCTCTGATAAACAGAAAAAAATGATAAAACATTTCAAGCCTTTAGATCAGGGATCCTCAAACTTTTTAAACATGGGGCCTCAGACCGTTGGAGGGCTGGACTATAGTTTGAAAAAAAAACTATGAACAAATTCCTATGCACACTGCACATATCTTATTTTGAAGCAAACAAACAAATGGGCAAAAATACCCACGTGTGGCCCGCGGGCCATAGTTTGAGGACACCTGCTTTAGACAAAGCTTCATGCCTTTAACCAATTACAAGTCAAAGCATCTTTAAACCCACCTATAACCTGTAAGCCCCAGCTTTGAGATGGCCCACCTTTTTGGGTCAAACCAATGTATGCCTCCCATGTATTGATTTATGACTTTACCTGTAACCCCTGTCTCCCTGACATGTATTAAAACCAAACTGTAACCCAGCCACGTGAGTCCCACTTGCCCAAGGCTTCTTGAATGTGGCTCCGACTCATGATCTTCAAATTTGGCTCAGAATAAATCTCTTTAAAATTATTTTACAGAGTTTGGCTTTTTTTTTTTTCTGTTAACAGATTAAGTAAAATTAAAAATTCAGTTCCTCAGCTGCACTAGCCACATTTCAAGTGTATAACAGCACTCATGGTTAGCAGCTACTGTATTGGACAGACAGAATGTTCCAGCAATGTACCCTGCCCGTCTGGACGGATGAGTGTGAATTTAGAGTTCCAGGACTCCTTGGAGTTCTGAGCTGGAATAAGGTGGCCTCTGGCCCCTGGCTCCCTTCCCTTCTCATGCCAGGCTCTGTCCCCAACTGCATGGATGTCCAGGCCAGCACAGCCAAGACAACAGCCAGCCCTGGCCACCTTGTGGGCCTAGGGTGGGCACAACATTAGCCCAGTCTGCCCGCAGGAGGACACGGGCAGGCCCTGGAAGCAGGCTTGGGCTCTTTGGGCAGGGGATTCAGGGACCCCAGCTGTCCAGAGCACGAATGGGTTGGGGGTGGGGGCACCCCTCTGGGTGGGTGGGACCCCTGGGCCCTGGGACCTCCCCGTGTGGAGAGGGGGCCGTGCTGGAGAACGGAAGGCCGGATCAGCACCCTCCAAAGTGCCCCGCCCAGAGCAGGGGCTCTTGTTGCCAGGGTCTAAGAGCAGACGAGACATTTATCACAGGGACTGGCGCAAGGTGAGCTCTCCATAAATGGTGACGTCTCTCGTGACCATGTCTTCATTTTTGCATTTGGAGACAACAACCGAATCTACCCATTCGGTCACTGAAGCTGCTGCTTCTAGGCCCAGAGTGCCTCCTCCTTTGATCTCGCCTAGGCGTGGATGGCAGCTGCACGGGAACTCGCCCCCAAGGCAGACAGCGCAGCGCCCTTCAGTGCCAGGGCGGGGCGACTGTCCTTACACGCCCACACCCCTCCCGCCGCTCCCCTGCCCTGCCCAGCCCTGCCCCCTGCGTGGGCACCCCCGCTGCCCTACATAAACAGGCCCAGGGCGCCAAGAGGCCCTGCCGTGCCACACCTTCCTGTGACCCCAGCTGGCCCAAACGCAAGGGAACCAGGCGGCTGGGACGTCCGGGGCTTTTAAGTCTAATGCACTCTTGCTCGTTCTGTATCGAAAGCACTTTTCACCCTGGACAGCTTCCGGATGCGAATGGAAGACCTTGTGCTCCTGCAGAGACCTCGCTTTACATTTTTCATGTGTTCATCATTCATGCATTTCAAATATTTAAGAGCTTACGGAGCTCCCTCGGAGCACAGGGGATGAACCACGGGCGACACAGAGTCCCTGCTCCTCTGAGCTTACGCTCCAGCAGGCAGAGGGACCGAGCGAGGTCGTCACCCTTGAGACAAACGTGCAGAAGGAGCCACGAGGTGCCACTGGAGTGTGCAGACTCATTCGAGCCCTGAAGGATGAGCAGGGATTTGCTCAACTCAGAGGTTCTCGCCCAGAGCTGCAGGTGAGGGTCACCTGGGGTGGGGTGGGGAACCTGACACCACAGCCGGGCCTGGGCCCCTGCCCTGGAGCTGCTCTGGCCTGAAGCCCAGGCAGGTGGGGGTGTGGTCGCAAAGCTCTCCAGGTGACCCCAACGAGCAAGGAGGCGGGAAGGCGGGATGCAGGCAGATGATGATCTGCAGCGTTGTGCGAAGGCCCCGGACAGAAAGGGCATCTAAGACAGGACGACACCTCCCTGAGGTCGCGTCTCTAAGAAGCCCCTGGGTAGCATGGAGCCCGAGCCGGCCAATCTGGGCACCTGAGCCTGCATCCACCTGCCTGGCTCCGATCCCAATACACAGGCAGAGCGACTTAAAAGTGAAGTAAGAAGATGTTTTTAAGGGACAATAAATAGCAATTAAAGAGCGTGGCCGGCGCTACCCTCCCCAGAGCTTGATCTCTGCTAGTTTCAAAGCAGCGGGCGGCTCACCCGATCGCCTTTAAAATACACCTGCTAACCTTCTTAGCTTGGGCCCAAGGAAGCAGACCATTTCTCCAGCATGATAAAGAGGTTATAAAACCTTGCAGGGTGTGGGCGGGGGAGGGAGTGTGCTCCTCTCTGCGTAGCATCCCTGGGCTGAGGGCAGCCTTGTGATCCTGCCACCTGAGAGCCTGTGACGCCCACGTCGCTTCCTGGAACCAGCAGACAGTCCGAGGTGCTGCACTGCGGCGTTTCCCGGAGCGAGGGGTGCGGAGGCCTGTGGCTCCTGGGATGACTTTATGGGACAGGGCCGTTTACTCAACAGCCCTGAATCCCTTTTCCTCTTCCAACCTTCCTCACTGGGTCAGCTAGGGAGTCTCGGTTGGGCGCCACGATGTCGTTAGCACCTAATACTTTCTAAAACTTTCCTTTTGCACAAAGAGATGAGGTCTTGGCAAGCAACAAGCCTCTGGCTTGAGCTCAAGGCCTCTGCTCTCTGTCCACTGCTTGAGTCCCATGCTCGTCTTCTTTGTGAGCGAGCAATGCCGGCTTGCTATTGGGTGGTTTGCTTTCAAGTGAGTTACATAGAGAGTGAGTTGATTGAAACAAAACAAAACAAAAAAAAGGATTTTTAAATGTTAAATAGAGGTGATAGGAAATACGGTAAAGAGCACGGGAGAGACGCAGGAATGCCTGTGGCTGGGGAAATGCTGGCGAGTGGGAGAGAGCCCCGTCCACATCAGACACACCTGGTTCAAACGCCGGCTCCCCTGCTCACGGGCTGGGAGCACGGCTGCACCCCTGCACTGCGGAGCCCGGGCCTAGGGTGGGAGAAGGCTCTCTGGGTGCTGTGGGACTGCTGCCCAGGCCCAAAGAGACACAAGAGGAGTCAGTCCCATCTGAGGCTCCTTCCAGGAGCTAGGTCTGCTGGGAAAACAGCAGAGTCACTGAGTCACTACCCCTGAGCAGTTACACGTAGGGGTTCAGAGACAGACTGGGGCAGGGTCCAGTCTTAGCTCTGCCACTCTGAGCTCTGCAACCTTGGGCACATTTCTTAGCCTCGCTGAGCCTCAAGTATTTTTTATTTATTTATTTATTTTGAGACAGAGTCTCGCTCTATTACCCAGGCTAGAGTGCCGTGGCATCAGCCTAGCTCACAGCAACCTCAAACTCCTGGGCTCAGAGTAGCTGGGACTATAGGCATGTGCCACCATGCTCTCCTAATATATATATATATATGTATATATATATATTTTAGTTGACCTATTAATTTCTTTCTATTTATAGTAGAGACGGGGTCTCGCTCTTGCTCAGGCTGGTCTCAAACTGCTGACCTCAAACGATCCTCCTACCTTGGCCTCCCAGAGTGCTAGAATTACAGGCCTGAGCCATGGCGCCCAGCCTGAGCCTCAGTCTTTCCATCTGTAAAAAGAGCCTAATACGAGGAGCTTTCCCACAGGTTGCTCCGATCATTAAGTGAGGTAAGAGAAACAAAACGCTTAGCAAAGTGCCTGGCACATAGCGTGCACTTAGCAGATGTGAGCCATCAAGATGCAATTGAATTGAATTTGGTTCCATTTAAGTTAATTAAGGCATGAAGTCAGTGAGGTCTGGAGCCAGAAGCCTCCGTGGCCTCCTTACGTCCAGCCCAGAGCCTTGGCCTTGGGGCCCTGACAGAGGACAATGTCTGCCTGCTGGTCTATTTTAGCACAAGGACAGAGCTGTTCATCGTCAGGGGCTGTGCAAGCAAATGGTGACGAGCCCCTGCCACGGGCTGGCAGCCGCGTATGTGCAGTGACGTTTCAAAGAATTATTTAATGTCATGGAGCGATGTTTAGATGTGCAAATTGGAGAGAAAATCGGTATGCAGAATAGCGTGACATATTCAGCCATAAAAAGGAACAGAGCGCTGATACAGGCTACAGTGGCGACACGTCTCAGCAACACGGTGCTACCTGAGAAGCCAGACACCTATCGAGTGGCCGTGTTTATCTGCAACATCTAGAAGAGCCACTGGCCCGGACACAGAAAGTGCATGAGTGGTTGCCTGGGCCAGGGAGAGGCAGGGACTAGGAGGCGATGGCTAAGGGTGTGGACGTCTTTCCGAGGTGACAAAGATGTTCTAAAATTGATCGTGGGGGGCTGGATGCACAATTGTGTGAATACACCAAAGGCCCCTGAATTGAGCACTTTATTTATTTATTTTGAGACAGAGTCTCACTCTATTTCCCAGGCTAGAGTGCTGTGGCATCAGCCTAGCTCACAGAAACCTCAGACTCCTGGGCTCCAGCGATCCTCCTGCATCATCCTCCTGAGTAGCTGGGACTACAGGCATGCGCCACCATACCCGGCCAACTATATTTTTAGTTGGGCAATTAATTTCTTTCTATTTTTTTTTTAGTGGAGACGGGGTTTCGCTCTTGCTCAGGCTGGTTTCGTAATCCTGACCTTGAGCCATCCTCCCGCCTCGGCCTCCCAGAGTGCTAGGATTACAGGCGTGAGCCACCACGCCCAGCATGAATTGAGTACTTTAAATGGGCAAATTGGATGGTATATCAATTACATTTCAATGAAGCTGTTAAAAATCACGCATAATAGGAATAAAATTAACATAGAGAACCAAAGAGACTGGGAGGCCGTACAAATATACCCACAATGATCATCTTGGGTGGTGGGCTTATGGGGATTTTTTTTTTCCCTTTTCACGTATCTGTATTTCCTAAAGATTCTACTCTGAATGCGTACGACTTTTGGAAAAATAATAAGAACCATTTCCTGTCCTTCTTTAAGAACGGTTCACGTTGGATTTCCACGTCCACCAAAAAAGTGCCAAAGTAACTTCCTACCTGGGCGCACGTCTCTCTCGCAATAAAGCGAGCCTCCCCGGAGGCCGTTACCTGGTCCACGTGGAGGGGCACGGCAAACCTCCTGAGCGTGGGCACCGAGGTGAGCCTGGAGTTCTCCTCGAAGTCCTGGTTCAGGTTGGCCAGGTAGAAGAGCTGGTAAAGGCTGCTGTCCTCGTAGGCGATGACATCGAATAGGATGCAGCCGTCCTCTTCGTAGGCGTTGACGTGGTGGAAGACCACCATGGCGTCCGTGTAAAACCTGGTGGGCACAGGCTTCCTGGTCCTTTGGTCGACGATGTGAATGTAAGTCTGAAAGAAGACGCAGCCCCCGGCGGTCAGCTCTCCCTCCTGGGGCCGGGCACTGCGGCCTCCGGGGACTGCACAAAACCCAGCCCCGCCAGGCAGCCAGGGAGCAGCGACTGTGTCCCCTTCCCCATTCTGGGTTCTGTGCCCGCTTAAGCAGTGCCAGGCAGGCGGAAGCATCCAGAAAATGAAAGCTGTTTGTAGATGGATTTCCGTAATAGTATCTTTGTGATGGAGAGGAGGGAGGCTCTGCTGCCTGGGTCTTTGAAGTCCCCAGGAGGACAATGTATGGGGACACTTCCCCTGTGCACACTACTACCCCCTTGTTCTACTGACTGTGACTCTGAGTGGGTGGTGACACGCCCGCTGCCCAGCAATGACCAAGCTGGGGAGAACCTGCCAGGTGCCAGACTCCATCCAAGACCAGCACCCCTAAAGCCCTGAGCCCACCCCCGTCCTTCCGGGCCCCCTCTCCTAACCTCCACTGCAGAGCCACTTCCTGCTTTGACTTGTTTGCCAAGAGGCACTTGTCACAGCAGCCCTGCCTGTCCCGGAGGGCTGCAGGTGGGGTGACCCTGGGCCCTCGCTAACGAGCCCACGAGGGAGTGTCAGCTCATTAGGCCTCCAGACTGCACCTCTCTGGGTGTCACGCGGCCAGCGTTGCTCTGGGTGGTGATCGGCCGTCTCTGCAGCCTGCGTTGCCCAATCCCAAGTTGGGGGGAGTGTTTTCTTTCTCTTGGCAGCCCTGGCCTAACCACCCTCCTGGAGCAAGGCCTGCTCCAGGCTGCTCTCTCACCACCTCCGCCCCTGCCCCAGCATCCAGCCCCGGATGTTAAGAAGGGTTACAGAAGAAGAGGGCTTTGGCAGTGTGGTTGGGGTAGGGGTGGTCAGGATGGAGAGGTGAAGATGGGGGTGATTATTTTAGGCCTTTTCTTCCCCATCACCCCAATGCCTGGGCCAGCCACATGGACTTTCCAGAAAGTTCCCTTGCAAATGCAGTCCAAAGCCTGTCCTGGGGCCATCTGCCCTGCCATCGTGGGCTCTAACTGGCCTCACCATGGGACTGTCTGAGGGCCAGGGACTCCCCAGGGCCACAGTTTGGAAGCTTAGAGGGTCCCGCACCTCCTGCGACAGGCAAGACCCCCCAGCCGTGTTTGGGGAAACTGCTGCCGGGAGAACTTGATTTCAGCCGTGGAGCTGGTGGGCCCCTGCTCATTCCTGCCACACATATTTATCAAGGGTCTACCACTCATCAGGCGCTTCTCTGGGAACCAGAGGAACAAAATACGACCGAGCCCCTGCTTTCATGAAGTTACATACTAGTGAGGGTGAAGCCAACGACAAAAATCAAATGCACAACGTGCCAAGGATGACGGGTGCTCCTGAGAAAGCAGAGTCAGGGGTGGAGCAAACCAGGGGCGTCTACTAGAGAGTTCACCACGGAAGGCACCAGAGATCCGGGGCCGAGAAGCCCAGGCTAGGTCAGCCGAGGGAGGAAGCCGTCAAGGGGATCAGCATCGGTCCAGGTGGAAGAGACAGATGTGCAAAGGCCCTGAGGCAGAAACGTGTTTGGCCAGTTGGAGACCCAGGAGGAGGCCCGGAGTGAGCACAGAGCAAGTGGCTGGGACAAGGGCCTGTGGGGGACAGCGGATAGTGAAGGAAGCATTTGGATCTTATTTTGAGGAAGACAGGAAACCACGAGAAGGTTCTGAGCAGAGGAGGGACCTCCCGGAACTGCTCACCCCTCTGTCCCCTTAACCACCTTACTGTCTGCCCTGAGAGGAGAGAGGACAGGCCTTAAAGGGAATGGTCGGTCACAAAGCGGGACACATGTGTGCACATGTATGTAACAAGTGCATGTGGACACGTAGAGAGAGGAGAAGGTATCAGACGAATAGTGGCGCTTCCCTCCAGATATAGGGAGGGGACGGGGAGGGGAGGGGACCTCATATGTGGCTGCTATACTTGCGTATTGCTTGAATAGGTAACACTGAGAATTACTTGGTATTTTTCAAAAGTAAAGTAACAACAGCAAATAAATAAATATTAATAGCAAATATATATACATATATGCATACACAAATATATTCATGCATGCATGTATACATAATACATCAAACATGCATATACACATACATACCGCGTTCCCCTGAAAATAAGATAGGGTCTTATATTTATTTTTCCTCAAGAAGACACCCTAGGGCAGGGTTCCTCAAACTACAACCCTCGGGCCACATGCAGGTGTTTTTGCCCGTTTGTTTTTTTACTTCAAAATAAAACATGTGCAGTGTGCATAGGAATTTGTTCATAGTTGTTTTTAAACTATAGTCCAGCCCTCCAATGGTCTGAGGGACAATGAACTGGCTCACTGTTTAAAAAGTTTGAGGACTCCTGACCTAGGGCTTATTCTCAGGGGATGTGTTATTTTTTTTTAAGTTACGGTACAACAATTTACATTGATTCAAATATAGTTAAGTTGTCTTCTTCTGGAACATCATCATCATTCTCCAAAGCCCCAATTCCATCCTGAATTTCTTGCGACTCTATTTCCTTTAGAACCATTGGCCCCAATCTCTCATGTGGAGCAACAGAGCTCTCATGGGGCAGATGAGAAGGGCTCCTCGTGTTCTTTCCTGCTCTATGACACGGGTTGTGCAGACGCGCTGCGTAGCCACGCCTGTCACTAGGGCTTATTTTCGGGGTAGGGCTTCTATTGTGCAAATGCTTAGCAATCCTGCTAGGGCTTATTTTATGGGTAGGTCTTATTTTCGGGGAAGCATGGTACATACATACATACTTTGCATGCTCAGGTGTACCTGAACTGAAGGAGGCGTTTCTGTAGAACCATCTGGAGGAACGCTCTCCCATTGCCACGTCTGAGTAACCTCTGACATCCCCAACATTACAGAGGTGGCAGAGATCCGGAAGGGGCCTTGTCAACAGAGTGGAGCAGGGAGGAGCCCAGCTGTCCCTCAGGACTGAGGACTTGGTCTCTTTGCTGTGGGGTATGTGGGGACTGCTCACGGTGACACCCTGTTTCCGGGACATTCTGCATCCAACGACACATGGACGTGGGGGTATAAAGGTCCGGCCCCCTTGCCCTAACTTGGCACTACTCTGAAGGACCACCCAGCTTCAGAACTCTCTAGAAAGATGGCAGATGCTTGCAAAGAGACTGTATGGTAGGTCCCTCCCCGCTCCACGTTGCTTCCTTCCCTTAAACCCCCTGCAGTGCTGGCCTCCCTCAGAGTCTGCCCCTGGGGGTCAGCCACCCCTGCTGGGCTAGTGCTCCCCGCAGGCCTCACCTTGTCCTCCTTGTGGAAAGACAGGCAGGAGGCCCAGCTCACTCCCCGGATGTACGCGGTCGCCATCTTGAGAATATCCAACTTGAAAGGCTGCTCGAGAAAAACGACGTAGTTCTCGGTGACCCCGAAGCTGTGGTAGTAGCTCGGGGAGAGGAGGGAGCGGGAGGGGATGGTGCAGAACACCTCCGTGTGCTTCCACGGGCTCTTCCCCTTCTTCTTGTCCTCTAGAGAAAAGCAAGCCTCGGGAATTGGGACTCGAGCAGGAGGCCGTGGGCCCCCCAGAAGCCACCACTGTCACCTACAAACCGACTTCGCTGCTGCTGAGAACCACCTCTGAGTAGGAGCCAACAAGTCAGCAGATGAGCAGGTGCAGGGGACCAGGCTGAGACCCCCCCACTCAGGCCCAGCCCCCTGGGGATCCCTGGTCTGCAACTTGAGGACCACCGACCCACAGAGGGAGGCCTCCAGGCCAGGGGGCCTCCACTGCAGCCTGGCGCTAACCTCTGTCTCCATCTGCTTTTGTAAATAAAGTTTTATTTGGAACGGGGCCACGTACACTCCTTTGTGCATCGTCTCTGGCTGCTTTTGCTTTCAGGCTACACTTGGCAGAGCTGAGCCATTGTGACAGAGACTGTAGGGTCCCCAGAGCCTTCGATATTTACTATCTGGTCCTTTTACAGGAAAACTTTGCTGACCCCTGCCCTGGAGCAGCACGTATGAATCCCCTGGGGACCGTGATGAGCCGTGGAGTTTGACTCTGTGCTGGGCGGGGCCTGAGATCCTGCGTGTCTCTCAAGCTCCCAAGGGATGGGTGCGTTTCCCAGGCTTGAGCTCTGGTATTTTTTCTGGGAACCATCATTTGATGTGGATTTCACAGGGTTTCCATGAACTTCTCTTGGCAGTGCCCATCCTAAGACACCTGAGAAAGGAATTAAGTACCTACTGCCATGAGGGGCATTTATATATATTGTGACGATCAGGCTGGGCTGTAGCATGCCCATTTTCCAGATGGGAAACTGAGGCTTGGTAGAAAGGGCTATCATATGGTCAGAGTCCGAGGGTTAAGACCCTTTAGCCTTGGCTTCCTGCTTTGTCACTGGGGACCGTGACACTCATAGAGTGACGGCAGGGCAGAGGACAAAGTAACGCAGGCGTCAGGTACTTCGCTCTGCGCCCAAACACGCAAGGTGCTCAGTACACGTTCGGTTTTCGATTCCTCTGCAAGGCTGAGTCACTCGCTGGCCAGAAGGCCTCCCCACCCAGGCCTGGGGCTGCCTTATAATGAGTTATCTGCAAACATCCCCACCTCTCTTGTGGCCACCTGGGCACGCTGTAAACAGCTGGCTGGTGGGAGGTATGGTGTGGGGTTGTGGGCTAATTCTTTTCTTCCCAAAACAAATGGAGCACAACGCAAAATGAAACGTAAAGCACCTTGGCCTGGGAGGCACGAGATGGTCCAGGCACCCCAGTGCAAGCAGCACACGGAACAGGTGCTCAGAGGATGGTTGCTTCCATGACACTGGTGGCTCTTGTAGGCTGCATGACTGTGGCATGTCACCCCTGGGCCTCACAGTCCCCTCCTGTAATACCAGGTTGCAAATCCAAATGCCTCAATGATCCCCCAAGTCTGACATTCTAGGACTCTGAACTCAGTCTCATTGGCTGTATTGGCCTAATGAATGGGAGCTCTACTTTAATAAGTAAACTCATTGTACCTTCTGACCTTGGAGGCTCACACACCTCCACACAGCCCGGTAATTTACTCAGGGTAGGAGGGTAGGGAACCAGCAGGGACCACAGATGGAAACCGGTTTTCCTAAACCAGAAGGTCAGGTTGAACACCCCTGTAGTTCTATGCTGTCTCCCGGGTCCCGCGCAGCTGCCCTTGGAGGCTGAGGCTCCTGGGTGTGGCTCCCAGGAGGGTCCTGGACAAACACAGGCTGGGAGCCTCGCCCTCCTCCCCCTCAGGAACATGCAATCACAGCCAGCCTGGGCTTTGCTCCAGGATCCCGGCCCTGAATGGAGAAGGTCCAGAAGGCCCAGGGAATAGGGTGGGGATCTGGAGTGGATCCCGGCAGGGCTGAGCTCCCTGAATAGCCCTGGAAGCCTGGCTTCAGGGGTTGGTGATGCAAGGAGGCAGTGCAACCCTGCTAAACAGAGGTTTGTCGGGAGACTAAAAATATGGATAGGTAGATGGATCAGTGGATGGATGGATAGAAGGAGAGATGGGTGGATGGGTGGGTGGGTGGAGGAATGAGTGGATGAACTGATGGATACATTGATGGATGGGTAGAAGGATGGATAGAAGGGTGGATGGATGGATGAATAAATGAATACATAGAAGGATGGAAGGGTGGATAGGTGGATGAATGGATGGATAGAAGAATGGGTGAATGGATAGAAAGATAGATGGGTGGATGAGTGGGTAGAGAGAGAGATGAATGGATGGGTGGGTGGGTGGATGAATGGATGGATGGATAGAAGGATGGGTGGATGGATAGAAGGATAAATGGGTGGATGAGGGGTAAATAGATAGATGAATGGGTGGATAGATAGAAGGATGGGTGGATAGATAGAAGGATGAGTGGATGGATGGATGGATGGATGGATGGATGGGTGGGTGGATGGATGGATGGATGGATGGATGGATGGATGGATGGGTGGATGGATGCATGGATGCGTGGGTAGATGGTAGCCTAAAGAAAACAAGATTAGAATAGTAAAGGAATTCCCTTTCTTCCAAAAAGAATCCCAGCAAGTCCTCTTTTCTCCTACAGGAGAAGACTGAGTTCACAGTCATCTGAATAATCTACAGGGGAAAGTATCTCATTGAATCTTGTGTCATCAACAAAAATCAGAACTCTTTAGAAGGAGCCCCCCTTGGCTGTTTGTGTTTTACTATATTCCCCAGAATGACCTACCTGGCACGGTGGCAGGGATCTTAAACATCACATACTTTGTCTTCCCCTTGTCCACAATGGATGTGCCCATGTTGAGAACATTTCCAACCTCGTCGTAATGAGGATGTGACGTTGCCAGATTCACAGCCACGTATTTCCGATAATCCACCTGCAAAACAGGGTGGCCGCCTGGTTTTTCAAATGAGAAAGGGTGAAACCCGGCGCACACCTGGCCGATGCCAGGTTCAGGGAGGTGATGGATATTTTCGTATATCTCCCGATCTAAAAGTAAGATGAATTTGCCTTTATAGAAGACGTTTACTCTTGTGACCCCACGCAACCTCACATGGGGGCAGTGGGGGGTTGCAGGGGACGTGGGGAGTGGGAGTTCCCATCCCGCTGCCCGGCCCTTGCGGGGAGTCCTCAACCATGGGGACAGGAGGCCTCGCCACACAGAGCTCCAGGCAATGAGCTGGGCACAAAGGCAGCCTTCACCTTGACTGCTGCGCTGAGACCTTCTGGCTAAGTCATTTAAATTCTCCCCTTCTGCATTCCACAGAGGCATAAATCTCTGGGCCTCTTTAATAGGCTTATTCTGGGAATGGAGAGGTTATAAAAACATTTGGTCAAAGCAAAACTTGACTCTTGGGCGCAGAATAACGATCCCCTCTCTGAACGGGGTCACACCTGCTGAACAATGGGGTGGCCGGACACCAACCGTCCACCCTTCCTCCCCCACTCAGCCAAGCGTCAGGTAACCTCCGATCCCTCCCGGCGTTTCTTCTCTGCAGCCCGGTGCAAAGCCTGCCTCGGTTGGACTGACGCCTCCTCCCTTAAAAGGAGCTGGACGTAATTTCGCAGCTAAGAAAAGCCCCTTTAATAGATCGTTAAAATGCATCGCAGAGACGCTGGGGCTCTGCACAGCCAGCTGGAGAAAACCGAAAGTGGGTCTATTGATTTTCACCGAAATGTGGACTCGATTCTTCCCAGGAAAGGCATCTGCCTGGGCATTTATTTTTGTCCTCTTGCGGATTGCCTAATGCCTCCCTCTTCAGGGCAGCGCAAGGTAGGGCTGCTGAGGTGTGGGCGGCCCGACAGCCGTTCATTCCCACTCCCTCTGGGCTCCCGGGGTGCCAAGCAATGGGGACACGGTTATGGGTTGAATTGTGTCTTCCAAAAAGATACGTTGGAGTCCTAATCCTCGGGACTTGTGAGTGTGGCCTTGCTTAGAAACAGGGTCACTGTGGATGTAATTAAGTTAAGATGAGGTCATGCTGCATTAGGGTGGGTCCCCATCCGATGGCTTGTGTCTTTATAGAGGGTGGGAAATTTGGACGCCTGGGCCACATGGACGACTCCGTGTGAGGACAGAGGCAGAGACTGGAGTAATGTATCTACGAGCTGAGGGACGCCAAGGATTGCTGGCAGCCAGCCACCAGAAGCCGGAAGAAGGCAGGACCTTCTAGAGCAGGGGTCCTCAAACTTTTTTAAACAGGGGAACTCGGACCCCCTGTTCACTGTCCCTCAGACCGTTGGAGGGCCATTGGAGAGCATTGCGCACATTCCACACATGCGCACTGTGGGCCCGGGACCAGTCGGCTGCTAAGCAGGACAGGCAGCGGCGGCAAAAGCACCCAGCGGGGCCGGATAAATGTCCTCGGTGGGCCGCATGTGGCCCGCAGGCCGCAGTTTGAGGGCCCCTGCTCTAGAGGCTTCAGAGAGAGTGTGGCCCTGCCGACACTTTGGTCTCAGACTTCTGACCCCCCAGACTGTGATGTAGTAACAGCAGCTCTAGGAAACCAAGATGGACACAAAGATGAACACGACACGGTCCCTGCCCTCCAGTGCTGGGTTGTGCTGGGGAAGCCCACGGACGAATGGCCTCAGAGAAGGGGCCCCTCTGAGCTCCTTGCGGGCCACACAGGCCTCACCCAGGGGGTCCCCGACTGACTGACTGTCCCTTGCTCGAGTCAGGGACTGATGTCGGTCGTGTGTTCACCGATACCTTCTCCAGGGTTTCCAGAGTCTGCGGGTTGATTTTCCTGACGTAGTTGGTCTCTGTGGTGGCGTAGAAGTCCTCCCCGCACTTCATGATATTGATCAGGCAGTTGTCCGTGAAGTCGGGGATGGTGTGGGACAAGTATGAGAAGGCTCTGGGGGGAAGAGCAGAGCCACACAGTCAGTGGCTGGGAAGTCCTGCCCTGTCGCTGGCTCTAGTTTTCTTACCACTTAAAAATGCTTCCATTTAAGAAAGAAAGAGTACCACGTTCCAGTGGGTCACTTGAGGAATTCTGAGAATGCAGATCTCAAAGTTCCCCAAGGACACCCCCTGTCGAGTCAGCTGAGAAATGAGTCACACGGGATACCACGGCCACCAGCTGGTCCCTCCCCGGCTCTCAAAACTCCAAAGGTCTCCAACGACAGAGCCAGCAAGAGCTGGTGGGTTGTTCTGAAGCATTTCTAGAAGCTCTATAGAAACCACAGAGCTGTGGACGCCCACAGTGGCATCCAAAGCTTAGAAAAGTAGCTGATACCCCCTTTGTAGGAATGTGAGACCACACGGGTTATCTCAAATTTGTCCAGGAAATTAATTTTTAAGAAAAGGAAAACAAATTAATCATGTGTTAAGAACACAGTTCATTCAATCAGAAGGTTGAGAGTTTGGTATGATTTGAAGAGAGCAATTTAACTTTTGGGTGCCAGGAAATGGGTTTTCTCAAAGTCCATTGCTGGCAATGGGCAGGCCAGGAATACTGGCACAGAGCATTAACCATACACCTTATTAATGGTGAGGCAAATGACTTTGAAATAAAGTTTTAGAGAAATAAAAAAAAAAGAAGAAGAAGAAGAAGAAGGTACACACTCAAAGCAGGAAGAAAGGAAAACCAGAGAAGTTGATTTGGAGGTAAAACTGGCAAACACCCGATCTGTGTATCGGGTAGTGCGCCTCCTCCTGACCGATAGTGGAATGGCAAGGAGGCCTCGAGTACCAGCACTTGACATTCATCCCCTCCCCTCCCCCTCTCCCCACGGGCTCCCTGGCTGCTCCTCCCTGTTTGCAAAAGTGAGCTCAGCGCTCGCTCCGTTTCAGCCCTCAGGGAATGGAGAGGTGACGTCAGTTCTGGAAAAGCAGAAGCAATCTTCCACCTCTGGGTCGGTCCACCACTAACCCTTTCAGAGCCCTTCTAGGCCTAAAGAGCCCCAGAAAGGAGACCCTGAGGGCAGGCCTGATTCCCTGGCCAAGAATTTAAGTGGCAGACTCATTCAGACGCCCTCATAGGCATCAATAACCCAGATGACTTTTAAACGCATGCAGTGAAAAATCTCTCCCCATCCCCCTTGCCCACTTCTGCCACGCTCCTCCCTCCCTCAAGCACCCTGAAGAGTTTCTTTAGGCATGCACGAGCAAAAATAAATCTAGACTTCCTCCTGCTTTGTCACACAAGATATAGCATAGTACATAGGCTTTTTCTACATCTTGGTGTTTTTCCCCCCTTAATATATCTTGGAAACTTTTCCAAACAGCACATAGAAACATCCTCGTTCCTTTTCATTCCTGCGTGGTCATTTCCCTGGTGGAGTTTGACTGTTATTTATTTAACCACCCCTCTGTTGATGAACATTTTGGGTTGTTTTCAGTTTCTTGCTATAACAAGTGCTGGCCGGCCACGGATAACCTTGCGAATCTGCCATTTCAGACAGGAGGAAGGATAGCCCTAGACCGAAGGGAATGTGCCTTTGTAATCCTGATCCTTCCAGATAGCTGTTCTCCCAGCCACATGGGAGGGCATCTAATAACTTGTCAAACGCCCTCTGCCTCTTGTGCGGTCAGTGACCGAGAGCCGCGTGGCGCCTATGGTCAAAGGACAGTCGTGGAGCTCTTATCCGGCCGGAAAGAGAATCGCCAGAGGGGCAAAGGCGGTTCGCCCTGACCGTCAAGGCCATCAGAAAGCATGAAATGGGGTCAGATTCAAAAGGGGCAGTTACTTGGAAAATATGTTTTTGCAGGGGTCCGGATAGGCCATGGTTCCAAACTCCGACACCACGATCCTGTTGGCCTCGATGTTGGCGCTGTACGTGTCACTTCTCAGGTACTGGCTCCTGTAGACGACCTCACCTGGAACAGGGGCGAAGAACAGTCTCAGCCTGACAGCGTTCAGGGTTTTAACATCCGTTCCAGCTGCTGTAGGGCTCTTACTGGGGAAGGGGGTGGTTAGGTCACCAGGACGGGCTCCGTTGGTACGCGTGCCTGATGTCACTAGCGCTGGGAATACGGTGTCTCTCACACACACACACACACACACACACACACACACACACGTCCTCACCTGAGACTCACGACAACCATGGCAAGGTTAGTACGCCTATTCTTAGCTCCATTTTCCGTAGGAAGGAACTCAGGCTCAGAAGCGTCCTTGCCCAATGTCACCCCCGCAGAGAGGTGCTGGCCCCGGCCACGGGAAGCCCTCCGCTCTGTTCGTGCCCCTCCAGGGAAGGTGCAGAGCTGGGGGACTCTTCCAGAGAACTGCACAGGTGGGCGGGGTTTCTCCAGGGCCTCCTCGTTCAGTCCTGGAGCCCTGCCTTCACAAGCCTGCACTGACCATTATTTCAGTCCCCCTGGAGTCACCTGTGATATCTACTGCCGCCACAAGGTGACCTCATGGCAGATTCTGCCTACCAGTCGAGGCTCGGTACCCAGCTTAGTGTCTAATTCATCCAGATTCCGGAGAGAATCTAACTCGTGGATCAAGGCAGGGCCTTTTGACCAGTCCATGGAGACCAACCCGAAGAGATACCAGAGGGTTCCAGACCTGGGCTAGTTTCCTGTTGCTACTGTCACAGCTTGCCACACATATGGTGGCTTTAAACAACACACACTTGCTTTCTTACAGTTCTGGAAGACATAGTCTGAAATGAACCTTCTGGGGCTAACATCAAGGTGTGGGCAGGGCTAACTCCCTCTGGTAGCGCTCGGGGAGAATCCATTCCTTGCTTTTTCTAGTGTTTAGAAGCTGCCTGCGTTCCTTGGCTAGTGGCTGCATCACTGTCACCTCTGCTTCCATTGTCACGTCTTCTCTGAGGCTGACCCTCCCCCCACCCCTCTGCGATTACACTGAGCTCACGCGGGTAATCCAGGATCATCTCCCCATCTCTGGATCCTTCATTTAATCACACCTGCAAAGTCCCTTTTGCTACATAAAGTAACACAGTCACAGGTTCCTCCTGGGGTGGGGTTGGGGGCGGGTGGGGAGGCCCTTCTGAGCTGGGAATGGATCAGGAGAGGCTTCATGGAGGAGGTGGGGCTTCAAAAATAGCCACTGAAGGACGAGCAGAATCGACTGCAGTAGGTGAGGAGGCAGGAGGAGGAGCGAGGCAGGGCCTTCCAGTTCGCCTCCCCAGGAAGCCCGGGAGCGAAGGCCCGCAGGTGGGAGGATGCGATCTGCTTCCTGCAAGAGCTGAGTGGGGCTGGGCTGGAACGCGAGGTAGGCGCTTGGGACCAGCAGGAGTGAAGTGGGTTTGGGGAAAGTGCTGGGATGAGCGGACTCCTGGGTCTGCAGGCCTTTCAGCTTTATTTGGTGGCCACTTTGCAACCTCAGGGTAGGTCCAGAGAGGGGGCCCCTGTGTGTTATTTTATTTTGCTATTCATTAGCGAACGGCATTATGTTGCTTATTTACTGCCCTACAGAACGCATCCCTAACGATGGTATACGGAGCTGGGCTGCGGGAGACGGAGCGGTCAAGGCTTGGGTTCCAGGGTTCACCCCATCCAAGCCGGGTGACCTCGGGCGGGTCTCCTAATCTCACAGAGCCACTGTTTCCTTGACCGAAAGTTAGGGATCACATAATCCGCCCCAGCTCGCATGCGCAGCTTTAAACGCGACGAGACGGTAGAAGGCGTTTGGCCCAGAGGCTCACAGCGTGCACTTGATCAATGAAAGCTGCCGAAACCCTGAATCGTCCAACAAAGTCCTGGTGGCAGGAAGCCTGAGCTGGAGGTCAGCGAGGTCATACACACACACTGATCCTCTGATCCAGCCCCCTGCTGTGCAGAAGCGGACACCCACATCAGGGCCACCCTGGCCTCCCCTCGAGCCAGTCTGTCCCTCACCGGTGCCTCTGTTTTGGAGTGGTCACTCACAGCCACTGGCTAAGGCACTCTGGGCCCCACGGGGGCTTGGCCCGAAATGCTGATTTCTGTTCACTTGAAATATAAACTCCCGGCCCAGGCTGGTCTGTGGAGAGGCCACTCATTTCCTAGAAACACGGAGCGCTCAGGGCCCGCAGGAATCTGTGCATCTGGAATTGCTCAAGGGTGACACTGGACTTTGAGGTTGAGATGAAAGGGGCCACTGTGCATTCCCTCTTGCCCTGCATTCGGGACAGCCCAATTAGCCACATTCCTCTGAGGGGACAGAAGTAAACAGATGTGCTCCTGCTGGGGATCTTCTAGAACTGGGTCAAGTGTGAATTTTTTTTTGGGGGGGGGGGGGAAGGGAGGAACCACAGCTGTCCGGAGTATCCTAGGGGAATGTGGGAGGTACACAAACTGCCTTTGGAGAAATACTAGCTTTGTGTTATCTGCAAATCAGAGCTGCCAATTTCCCTGTGTGTTTCTTCTTCTGAGTCCGGTAGAGCGGAATGTAACATTTTTGGTTTATATTTTCTCTATTTTAGACAATAGGGAGCCACTGAGAGTTCTAGAGGGGAGGAAAGATGAGGCCAGGCTGTGCCACACCAATACTGGCAATCTGGTGGCACTGAGAGGTTCAGGCTGGAGAGACGGGGCGATACAGGAGTTGGTGGGAGGTGGGCACGGGGCAGAACTGCACAATGGTTCGAACTTGGGGATTCTGAATGTAGAGCCCGTTGGGTTATGTCTGACCTCCATCACTTCTTAGCTGTGTGCATTTGGGCAAGTCACTTGGCCTCTCTGGGCCTTAGTTTCTCATCTGTAAAATTGTGATATTCATAGTAGCAATGGTGTTTTCCTCGGGAGCTACAGTGAGGGCTGAGTTGCAGACAGACATGAAACACTTAGGGCAGGGACCAGAAGACACTCTATGTGGCGAATATTGAAGAGTTTGGTTGGGAAGGTATCCCTTCCATCTACCAAAATAATGTCCTCCTCGCTGTACCATCTCAGCTCCATAAAGAGTTTCCAAGTGCCCCTCTGGGTCAGGACTCACACTAGGTGACAAAGACACAAACAATTTGTATAGGGTCCCTGCACTCTGGGACCTCCCACCCTATGCTGGAGACTGGAAGAGTGGGGCATGTACCCCCAGACACCTGCCCAGGTTCAAGAGCAGGGGCAAACAGGGGAGTGTAATTCCTATACTTCCTAGTTCCTAGCCAATTCCAGATCATGAATAAAACTACTTCATGCTACTCACCCTTTAGAATGAACTTTTAGTTTGAACAGCTACTAGAACCTTTTATTTAGTTATTTTTTATTTATTTATTTATTTTTACTTTTTGAGACAGACTCTTACTCTGTTGCCCTGGCTAGAGTGCCGTGGCGTCAGCCTCGCTCACAGCAACCTCAAACTGCTGGGCTCATGCGATCCTCCAGCCTCAGCCTCCCGAGTAGCTGGGACCACAGGCATGCGCCACCATGCCCGGCTAATTTTTTTCTATATATTTTTAGTTGGCCAATTAATTTCTTTCTATTTTTAGTAGAGACGGGGTCTCGCTCTTGTTAAGACTGGGTTCGAACTCATGACCTTGAGCGATCCTCCTGCCTCAGCCTCCCAGAGTGCTGGGATTACAGACGTGAGCCACCGCGCCCGGCCATAGAACCTTTTAGAAAGTCTAGACAACCATTTGGGTCCGTCATCCCCTGCTATGCCGCTCTTGTCCCTGGTGGTCGCTAGGGAAGGACGTGGGTGCCATTGCTCTGTAAGCTGTGAGGATGCCCCTCCATCCAGGCACACACAGAGGGTCACTTGAGCAACCTGCCATTTCTCAGGTAGTTAGTGTGCGTGGGTGCGTGCGTGTGTGTGCGTGCGTGCGTGTGTGTGTGCATGCGTGTGTGTGTGTGCGTGTGTAGGTTAGGACAGTGAGAAAGATGCAAACCTTAACCCTGGACAACACACAAGTTCAAACGCCAGCCTCACCTCAATGACTTTGGACCAGTCTTCAACCTCCCTAAATGTTCAGTTTCTGCATTTGCAAAGAGGGGGACACAGTACCCCACACACGGCATTAACGTGGGCCCCAGAAAGAGACCGCAGAGGAGCTGGCAGCCTAGAGAAGCCACTGGGACTTTTATCTTCCGTGCACCTCATCCAGAACCAGCATTTTACTTCCCTGGGAATCGCTGGGGACTTCTGTTTAGAAGAGGAGGGAATTGTCAAGGCTTAGCGTTGTCAGCAAATATAGACCCACCCACGCTGTGGCTGAATCACAGCAAAATCTGTATGTTTTTGCCAACTCAGAGCTCGTGACTTTCATCCTTGGTGTCTCTATTCATGGAATGTTAGTGCAAGTCGCGGGCATAGAGTATGCTCTCAAAACATAATTGTGGGCTGGCTGAAAAGGAATAAGAGTTGTGTGAAAATAATAGTGAACACCTCTTGAGTATGCACTATGTGCCAGACACTAGACAGAGCTCATCACACCTATTAGTTCATCTAAATTCCATAGCAACTCTGTGAGACATGCTACTGATATCCCCATTTCACAGATGGGGAGACTGAGACACACACACGGTCAGTAACTTGGCCAAAGTCACACAGTTTAAGTGCATGGTAAGTAACCAGGGTGGCGGAGCTGGGATTCGAACCCAGAGACAGTGATGGTGGTTTTTAATCTGTTGAGCATCTACCAGGTGTCAGGCCCTTGCAGGAATGCCCGGGACGCCTAATGATCCCAACAGCTCTCCAGGGGAGGATGATCAAGCTTATTTGGCTAAAGAGGAAACTGAGGCTGGGGGACTTAAAGTATGCGCGGTTCAGCCATGTTGGGGCACAGGCGTTAAAGAAAAACGCTGTGAAGCCCGGAGCACTTGACACAAATCTAACCACTCTGTGACCCTGAGTCTTCTGAAGCCTTAAGCGACCCTGGACCTCTTTAAGAACTCAGCTCTTGCTTTTGTGACATAAACCATCCCCATGG